ACTGGCTCTGAGCTTCGGCTGAACCTTGTACCCTTCTGCCACACACATGTTGCATTGGTTAGTGTCAGTGAGATCTGGTTTGCATGCAGTGTTGAGCTGTGGTGTGGGACCAAGGAGGGTGAGCCAATCTTGTATGTTTTGAATGTGAGCACATATGTTGGGGGTGATGACAAATTGGAGTGGATCAAAGCATGAGGAGACAAGGTTGTTGGGGAGTGAGAGGGATGTGAGGTTGGATTGGAAGTCTTGGAGGCATGATATGGAGGTGGGCAGGTTGGGGAGTTGGAAAAGAGAGTGCTTTTTGAGGTTTTTTGCAAGTGCTATGCCAAAGAGGGATAGGAGAGTTTGGCAACACGGGGTTGTGAGTGTTTGGTTTTGGAATGACAAGGGTTGGAAGTTATGGCAGGCAGAGATGTTCCAAGGGACTGTTTGCACATAATTCATTGCCACTGGGCATGTCGAATTGTTGGTAGGGGAAATGGTGGCAGAAGGAGAGGGAGAGGGTGCTGCTGAAACTGCCACAAAGATCAGAAGAAGCACGAGAATGGACTCCATATCTATGACATTGATGAAATCTTTGTACAAAGATAATATAATTTCTCTTACCAAGAAATGGTTTTGATCTATATATCAAAAAAGAGTTACTTTTTTGACCTAAGACTTTTGACCCGAGAAGAGAAACTATAAGAAATTGTACAATTACATAGTTTATTATATCTTATCATACGCGCTCAAGTTATATTGTTTCTTGCCATAGTGCACGTGTCTTTAAAATTGTTAAAAAGATTATTCTTGTGTATATAATAAAAGAAAAATATTGAAAATTCTTGTCTTACGTTGAAATTTCCTGAGAAAAACCCTCTTATTTGTCGTCAGTTTTCAAGCCTCGTGTCGTAGTTTTCAACCAAAATGACGCATGAGAAAGAACCCCCATATTTTGTCAAACATGTCGGAACCATGAACGAGTATCCTTGAGCATATAACTACTCCCTTAATACTAATCTTTTGTTTTGTATATTCTAGATGGACGAGTCCAATTTCACTTCTGATGTGCTAAATGTATACATTTAAAAATATAAATTAACATCAAAAGGTTGTACGCAGCAAGAGTGGAATTTAAGTTCATCAAACTGAGTTGTTGGAAATTTCAACTTAATTTTAAATATATAAAAAAAAATTATGACAAGGCCTTTTCTTTATTGTTTTTAATATCACTTTCGGCCTCTTTTCAATTATATTCTAACAGTCCGATAAAAAATTTAAAAATACAAAACCTTAATAAATATGCATGACAATCTAACCCGTCTTCATAGATACCTGTCCGAGCCCACCCTGATTTAGATGGGAAAAATTCGTGTTTATCAGGTTCGAATTTTCTCCTATTGATAAAATCGGGGGACGGAGGCGGGAATGTTAATACCCATCCCGCTCCCGCCCCCATACCCGTCCCCGTTTAATAATATCATTAAAAAATTATTTTTATATATATATAAACCAAAATTATATATATTTATATGTAAAAATTTATATTATTTTACTTTTCTTTTATTTTTTTAAATTATTCATATTTATTTTAAAACAAAAAAAGAAAAAAAAAATAAGAGTGGGGGCAGGAGCGGGGAACCCCGCCGGGGATAGAAATGAGAACCTAGATTTTATTCCCAACAAGTATCGGAGACGAGGATGGGGACGGTTTAAATTTGCAGGAGCGGGGACAGGGGCAGAGAACGTAAAACCCGCCCCTGCCCCGTTGCCATGCCTAGATATGAATGTCAACCGGATTTATTTTATTGAATAGTTAATATGTAATTGAAAAAATATTTAAGAAAACTACAACATACAACCAATTTCCTGATAACAGTTTTTGTTCAGGTTAGTTTTTATGCTCTACTAAGAATAATGTAGCAGAATTTGTATTCTAATTGTATAAGATGCCATTCTAATTTATAAAGAACGAAGAGAAGCAGAGGAAAGAAACAAGTTGCATTTTGACCGAAAGGGTTGCTGTTGTAGTCTTGATTTGGTTTGGCAGTCATGGTCACAAATTGGGAAAGTTTTCGAGACTCCTATATTGAATGGACAAGGTTATTCGAGAGTTTATACCCTGGAACAAGAGGTGACCACCAAGAAGAGAGAGGAAAAAAAATGCTAATATTATCCAAGATTGATGCGATTGACCAGAGTTCTACACAGATGCACTAATGTACCGCAAACATGATAAATATAACAAAAAAGCCTTTCATTAACAGTTTAAAAAAATTACTATTATTATGCATGCATTTATTCACCAATAATCGTCACCACACTGAAGCACAACAACGATATATCTACATTCCATGCACCCTTATAATTCAATTAGCAGATGGTGGGCGTTGCTGAGAAAGAAAAGGTACTTCCACCATTGTTCCCTTGATGTTGTCTCCAATAATTACAGTGTCTCCTTCTGAAGCAGCTTGCCTCTTGATGTAACCTAATCCAAAGTGTTCAGAGTGCTTCCTTCCGGATGTGTAGCTAGTCAACTTTCCAACCTGCACAACTTGCAAAAACCATCAATTTTCTCCCCAACTAATTCAAGGGGGAAAATAAGATTACCGAACGCAATACAACATCACACGCGCTAGGAGAACCACTATCATTTATCCACTTTTAAGACAAGATGGTTTTCTCGAGAGTCCATAGATAATTTGTAACTGGAGTTTTCACCAGGTACTTGTCATCTTTAGTTTCAACTGGGAATTACTACGCGCAAATTTCCATCTTCCTCTTTTTTAGCCAAAGACACGAGGATTGCATATAAAAATATTGAACTTATTTCAAAAGAAATTATACGGCACCTTTTTCCCATTAACCATAATAATGCTGCCAGGTTCTGCAGCTGCAGAAAGATGAAATCCCCATAACCTCTGCTTGATTCCGTCATATGTTATGAGCCTAGATATAGTCTCCTGTCCTTTGTAACAACCTGGAAAATTCAGAATCAGACTAACTATCCAGAAAGTTTCAACATTTTATGCAGATGGGTAGTGGGAATAGACCAGTTACAGACCCTTATTTAGAGAAATTGAGCTCCATAGACAGGCCTCCAGGACATTGAATTCATTTGTAAGCTCCATTCCAGGAGCAGGCCTTCCTAAGAAGTCAAGTTATGATCAAAAGTTGATATAAGAAATATAGGGAATGATACTATATATACACAAAAAGAAAAGTATAAATTACTCATATTTCAAATTATTTGATAACTGTTTTTTCCCAGTTTCATTTCCAATAGAAATATGCCATTCAACCCAAAGACAAATATTATATGTCTACACATTTTCTAGTATTTTATAAACACGCACATCCTTCTTTTTTTTTTGGTTTTACACAAATATCCTCCATAAGAAACAATTTGTTTGAGCCACGGTAAAAAAACCAAAACATGAACATCTAATAAGAATCCTTGTTGGAGAGCCCAAAGCCTTATAAACCTCACTAAAATCCCATACTTCAAATGTGGGACTCAAGTCCCATACCCCCCACCATTGGATCCTAACACATCTCTCCCAATGGGGGACTATCTTCCGCTAGATCAGATCCTCATTGGTAATACTGGCAATTTTGAAGGACATTGTTCACTCCAGAATTGACATTCTAACTGTGATTGTGTTCTTTGTTGCACCAAAAGTCTGCATGGGCTTGAAGCATTTTTTTACATACATCAGAAGAATTATGTTTAATAATAACATCGTGGTGAGAATTCCAGTAGTGTCAAAACTCCTAATTCCAGTGAGTAACTTCTATTTTCATCAGTTGAAAATCTACTCTCGAGGAAAAAGAACAAAGCTAATATTTATGCCAATAACAAGACTTGGTCTCCATAACTAATCCTAAATAACTCCTATGTTACAAAAGAAACAATAACTATACAGTAAATACACTCAATGCCTGATTACAGAAAATATTGAGATGGAATTTGACAGTAGGATGTGCTGGTAATCAACTACTCTGGACCTTAACAGGCCAGCCTCTTCCAAAACATCTTCTGTAGGAGGAGATATAATTGATTTTAGCCTAAATTCCTAATATAAACATTATAATCTACAGTTCCTTGTTTTTTATATACAATGTAACAATACAATATCTGGACATGTAGAAATATGTGAATGAAAGAGAAAACATTGAGACTAATGCTGCGTGGAAGGTTTGCAATGTTGTCCCCAAAAGTAATTGTCATGGAACTGGAGGAATTTTCTTTTAAGAACTAAGAATCAGCAATGTAATTAGGAACACAGTACATCACGTTCGGAGGCTAGGGTTTCAAACGCTCAATAGAGAGATGAGTTGAAACCTGCTCTAAGCAATGTGAGAGCCTTTCAAAATGCAGACTTGTTCTATTTATCCACTTTACGTGGCTTAACCTCCAAGACTTCCAAAAATAACTCGTAATTTACAGCATTAAACAAATATAGAAAACTCCTAATAACACATGTATTAAATGTGATTAACACTGATAGAACCCCGTGATACTAAGGTGCATGCAACCAGGAAGGGGATGGGATGTAGAGGATCAGGGGTTTCAATGCCACAACAGTATGGGCTGTACTATTGTAACAAACTGAAAGAACAGCAATCAGAGTGTTTGGAAGGGAAAGAGAGACAGGGCAG